CCTGGAGCACACATCAAGTGGCTTGATATACCAGACACTGGAGGCACAGCAGCAGAAGGATAAGGAAGAGGACTTGTTACTATCTCAGGGCCAGCAGGAACCTTTGCCTACTGCTTCCATTCTTGTGAGGCAGGGGCAGCAAGAGCCTGAGGAGGTAGATGAGATGGAGAAGGGGAGTTGGGGTGTAGGCATCAAGAAGGAGGAGGAAATAGGGGTTATTTTAAAACCTCCCAACCCTCAGCTGTTGTACATGAGTGGCGTGAGATTAATGAGGATGGTGTTGTCCTCACCTACACTGAGGACTCAGGGCCCCAGGCATTTTGTGGCGAATTGGGTCTTTTATGACCGATGCCTTTGAAGGACCCCAGGATTCGTGTCAGCAAACACAGGGACTATGATTGGGTTTCCACCCTATTAGACCCCAATAAAAGGGTAAATTGGGGTTGATTCTACTTCCACCATCTCAGAAGGAGCCTTTCTTGATAGTGGTAGGATCCCCGCTAATGACCAACATGCCTCGAATACTATGAAGCTAATCAAGTCTGTAGCTTGAGTGGAGCGTAGGGGAGACATTAGTTCTAATAGATCCCTAATGGCTTATTAAAGAGAACCCTTACTGTCACTAATATTGGGCTTTCATATAGGGGACTTGTCAGGTCCCTTTGTGATAGCAATAAAGTTAAAAAAAAAGTTTAACTTGCAATTGCTTTTAAAAAGAGAAGTAATATCAATACAAAATGCAACACATTTTTAATGCCCTGCCCCCATGAATGCAAACAAATGCATCTACTGTACATATGAGAATGATGATTGCGCCAAACATGTTAAGTATCACCAAATATCTTGAAGTGAGATTTGATATGATTAATGATTTTACTGCCATCATTCATGGTTAACTCTAAAATGACAATCTATAAAGGTTTTTAAAACAACACCTATGGTCAGATTAGGTACGAAAGTTTCATGGGTACACTCAATTTTGAGGCTTGGCAATTTTAATATCTATTTGCTTAACACAACCTCATTGTTTATATTTTACGCCAAAGAAGGATTTTATGTAATATATATTTATAATATATCATTTTGGGGGGTTTTAAAATGTGCATTTAAACGTGTGCAAAAAACTCTAAACCCAGCTCTGGCAGCGAAAGGGTTAAAGGATATCCTAACCCAAGAACAAATATGTAACATATTGCAGTTTACTAATCTGTATATGTGGCAGCTGCACTAGTTTCATTTTTCAGGCTATAAACATTTTCACAAAGTACAGAAAAAACCTGTGGATCTTGACAGAAATCCTGTGTTCTTGCCAACTTCTATAAACTTAACTGAATTCACAAACAACATTATGTTGCTTCCAAGCTATCTTCTGTAGACTAATAATTCTCCTGCCCCCATGTAATGCAGTCCAAATTTATGGGGGGAACCTATGTTGACAGCATAAAAATACAGTGGAGTGAGTGTGTGTAGCCTTCCTAGTAGGGATGTCCCGATTCCGATGCTAGCATCGGTATCAGGACAGATACAGGGCATTTTGACTTGTACATGTCAAAATGCCCCAACTGCCCAGAGGACCCCGACATGCACGGCATCTCCGGCTAAATTAGGACCCCACCTGGAGCTCCTCCCACCGGACCATCGCTGACGCGCCACAGCTCTCCCGCACAGCAGCCTGAACGTAAAGAAAAAAAATGGCAAGCATCGGCGCTATGTATCGGGGCATTTTGACAGGTACAAGTACTTGTCAAAATGCTCTGTATCGGTCCCGATACCGATGCTAGCATTCCTACTAGGAAGTCTACACACACTTACTCCACTGTATTTTTATGCTGTCAACATAGGTCCCCCCATTAATTTGGACTGCATTACACAGGGGCAGGAGAATTATTAGTCTACAGAAGATAGCTTGGACGCAACATAATGTTGTTTGTGAATTCAGTTAAGTTCATAGAAGTTAGCAAGAACACAGGATTTCTGTCAAGATCACAAGCGCTGACTAAGACCTCACCTGCAAGGCACATTGTGAGGCACCAGCCATCATCGACCAGTAAGTGAGGGCCTGGGGTGAAGTGGGAAGTTTAGAAGTGGGAGTCAGAACACGAAGAATCTATTGCCTGCAGTGTATTGGGAATGTGTACTGTATATGTACTAGAGCACTGCAGCAATAGATTTACAATTATCCCCTGCTAATATGAATGGGTTAAATGATCCATATGTAGCCCTGTGATATGGATCATTTAACCCATTCATGTTAGCAGGGGATAATTGTAAATCTATTGCTGCAGTGTACTCTATACGTACTACATATAGAGTACACTGCAGGCACTTGATTTACAATTATCCTTGGCTGACATGAATAGGCTAAATGATTCATAGTACAACTACATGTTATGTACTATTATGTACTATGGATCATTTAACCTATTAATGTTAGACCCCGGCTTGGCAGTCGTACACGTCGTACACGCATTGGACTTGAGCCCGGCTTGGCAGCTGTACACGCATTGGCTTTGAATCCGGCTTGGATGACTACCCGCATTGGAGTTGACCGGCTTGTTCCTGACCTTGCTGCCGCTGTTCCCTGATGAATGTTTATTTATGTTTCTTTAAAATAAACTACTTTAAGAGGATAATTGTAAATCTATTGCTGAAGTGTACTCTATGTGTAGTACATAGTACATGTACGTTACACACTGCCAATACACTGCAGCAATAGATTTACAATTACAATTAGTACATAACATGTAGTTGTACTATGGATCATTTAACCTATTCATGTTAGCAGGACATTGCTGCAGCTATTGGGAATTGCTGCAGTGTATTCGGAAAGTGTTCTGTACATGTACTACATATAGAATACACTGCAGCAATAGAGTTACAATTCTGTCCTGCTAACATGAATAGGTTAAATCATGATCCATAGTACAACTAAATGTTATGTACTATTATGTAATATGGATCACGACTTAACCTATTCCTGTTAGCAGGGCAGAATTGTAACTCTATTACTGCAGTGTACTGGAAGTGTGTACCAGGTTAAATGAGCACAGATGGATCTTTTAACCCATTCATGTTAGCAGGGGATAATTGTAAATCTATTGCTGCAGTGTACTCTATATGTAGTACATGTACGTTACACACTGCCAATACACTGCAGCAATAGATTTACAATTCTCCCCTGCTAACATGCATAGGTTAAATGATCCCAGAGCCAGATGCATGATCGGATTTGTAGTTTCACAACAGCTGTGTGAAAGCAAATACACATGTTTTAGTGTTCTAAAACAGTCTTAAATTAAAGTTCTTCATACTCATCATTATCATTAGTCTGTATTGTTTTTTTTTAATGTCACCTGTCCCTTGAAGAAAAAGTATCGGTAATTGGTATCGGCAAGTATCTGAGGGGAAGTACTTGTGCTTGGTCTTGAAAAAGTGGTATCGGGACATCCCTACTTCCTACTTCCTTCCTATTCCCAAGTGAAAATAAGGCCTGAACACTAATTAGAACACTAATTCAGTCCCATAATTTTTAAAGTGACATTAAAGCCAAAACTTCCCCCCATCACCCAATGCTAGTGTAAGGACTTACCTTAAATGATGCCTCTTAAACCGATCATCTTTTTCTTTCCAGTAGTTTTCAGGAATCCCTCCAGTGCTGGTGACGATTACCTTCCTACCTGGACCAGCTCTGGTACCGCCCTGTATAGGCGGCTCCCTCCCTTTGTATTGGGCTATAGTACCTTTTTTTTTTATTGGGCTATTTCTTTCCAGTAGTTTTCAGGAATCCCTCCAGTGCTGGTGACGGTCTCTTCCTGTCCCATGAAGTCTGTGCGGGTGCACGCTGCCTGCATTAACTTACCCTGTGTCTCTCCTCTTCTACCGGCCGAAGATCTGTACTGTGCATGCGCCTGCCCCTTGATCTTTTGCGGGCGCCTGAGAATCTTCAGATCTTCGGATGGGAGCTCACGGCGGAGACACAGGTAAGTTCTAACCCTTTTGTAAACTTTTTTTAAAATGTTTTTGCATATATCTACTGCTTGCTAGCAGTAGATATATGCAAAAACATGCAAGGGTTTAATTATCCTTTAAGTCATGGCAAGCTGCAACTCGAACCGGGGGACCCCAATGCTGCAAGTTAGCATGCCAACCACTAAGCTGCCCATATCGCTGGCATGGCCTTCTACTTCAGCGGAAAAAGACCTGTTAGCAAGAAAAGCAGTAGACATTGATGATAGATAGATAGATAGATAGATAGATAGATAGATAGATAGATAGATAGATAATTGCTAGCAGTAGATATATGCAAAAACATGCAAGGGTTTAATTATCCTTTAAGTCATGGCAAGCTGCAATAAATGCGATTTTTGTTTTTGGGCTTAGATACACTTTAAACTCAAGCATGGGCTATAATTCAAATAAATTTAAAATCTTGACAAGCTCTTTGGTGATTTACATTGTTTCAAGCAATACATTATAGATATGCATTTAGGTCTATATGGGCAGTGTGTACATCAGGTATCCCTTGTATTTCATGCATTAAATGAGAACAGAAGGCCGCACATTACTAATGTAAGATCATTTAGAGAAGCTACACACATATTGGGGATATTTCTAAAGCAGTGAATGTGACTTTCACCATACATTCACTGATGGTAATCCAATTACTGTTATTTAAAACACGTGCACCAGTTTCACTTGCAGTAAATGGATGGTAAATGTCAGATTCACTGCTTTATAAACATACAATGAAGTCCAAGGCATTGGAATTTAGCAATGAGTACTGAACATGTGCTGTTTTAATAAGTAAACAAAGAATTCTTGCATGCAAAGCTATTAGACCAATAAAGGGAAAAGAGTGCCTAGTGTTTAACCATTGAGCACCTTAGATGTATTCGTTAGATTAGAGAGCTACAGAGTGAGATGGATAGTCTGGGAGAGGGGGAGGAAGAGGAGGGGGAGTGAACAGGAGGAGGCTGCTATCACATCACTCCTGCAAAGATAGAACATTTGCAAATTATCCATTTTATGGGTAACGTGCACAGTAACATAATTGCTACCATCTACTATAATCCTTTTGCTGAAAACATATTGGGGTAAGTGTGCTTTAATATATATATATGTTTTTGTTATATCCGATTGACTGTTTACCAGCATTCTGTTAGCCTGATCCTTGGATCTTGAACATCGTAACAGCAGCAAAGAAAATCTATAAACACAAACGTATCTCAATAGCTTAAAACATGCAAAGGGTGGAGGGATGTATATTAAGCATGGGGTCATCTAGTATTTTATAGGACAAGCATGCATATTATAACATAGCTATTATTCTATAAACTTGTGCCTCTCATAAATGCAAGACTGCATCGAGAGACATTTTAACAGATGGATCTCTCCCATACAATATAATCACAAACAACACACTTAAGAATGACAATACATGCTTTCAAATTTAATGTTGAATCATTGATGCAAAACAGCTTAAAACTCTTTGCCAAAGTGGGTTCATTAACCAGACAGACACTACAGTTGGTTAAGAAAATGTGTGTTTACATTGGAGACTTCATATTTAATTATTTTACAAGACACCTGAGGTTTATTGTTGAGAAGCAAAGGCTTTAATAGGTTTATCATGGCAACAACCAGAAGGTAAATATCTTTTCACATTGACAGGTTAAGCAAGAATCATGACAGCTGAAAAGACTATCCCTGTAATTAATGGGAAACCTGAGGATGCTTTGGATGCTGAAGCTTCAAGTTCCAACCTGGTCCACAGCAATGACAAGAAAGTCCATGAAAGGGGCCACTGGAATAACAAAGTGGAATTTGTGCTGTCTGTGGCAGGGGAAATTATCGGGCTGGGAAATGTGTGGAGGTTTCCATACCTTTGCTACAAGAATGGAGGAGGTAAGTTAGGATGTAATTTGGCTAAGTTGCCTATGATGTCAAGTGCTGGACAGTTCCTTTTGTTCATGAATATTGTTTTTTGTTTTTTTCTTTTCTTTTCCTTTTTTTTTTTAAAGAAAATTATGTTTTCAGTACATTGTATTACAATAGCATAACAACACAAAATAAAATGCATGCATAGATCCATATAAACAATATGGGGTCATTTAATAAAAGTAGTCATGTGTGGTAGTGTAGCATATCTTTTTTCTCTTCGAATATCCAGTTGGATGCAGGCAATTGCTGATATCTAAAACTCTGTTTATATACTATATTATAAATGTAATTGTATATTTAATATGCATTTGCACTTTATCATTTAACCATATTATTTTAAAATATTGTATCAGTATTAAATAATACATGGTTTAAAATACACCTTATATACACAGAGTGTAAGTATTCATTTTAAACATTTCTAGGAGTGGTTTACTGTAAATGGTTTCTTTTTCTGGCATAACCACTATTCCTTGAGCATTTTCTAGACAGAATCAAAACAATATTAGATTTATATTATTTCCTTGATGGATCAACAGTTTCCTTTCTGATAGGTTTAATCTAGTCCAGTGATGTGATGTCTGGTATAAACTAGCTAATAGGTAACTGCTTTTTCCATAGTTATTGAGCAGCCCTGAAGTGAGAATGTGTTCCAAGGTAATACAAGTGTTCAACTGAGACTGAAACCCAAACAGGCAGTTAGATAACATGTGCTTAACTATAAACAATGCATATTCCAGAACACACAATTTCCTATGAACAAAAATACAATAAAGTGCATTATTGTGTTATGTAATGATTATAAATAATATATTTTAAGGGTTTTAGAGATAATGTCCCTTAAACCAATGCGTGTTTAATCTTTTGGACTAGCATAAATATACTTCAGCTTCACCAGAATCTGGGCTCTACATGATTTCTACATATAAATGAGATGTTTACATTGTAAGCAATCAATACTTATGATCATCTTCCCTGAGGGGAAGATGATCATACCAGATTTGATCCCATAGTAAAATTAAACATTAGACACATTATTATTATAATAATTATTTTAAACAAGTTTTTTTTTTCTTTCTATAAAATAAACATATTGTTTATTTCATTAACACATTTAATGTTAAATAAAAAGTGTATATTTGCTAAATTTGTGATTATATTTATTTCCCTTAGAATCTGCTACTTCATGCGTTTGGTTAGTCCATACTCTACAGTTATGTAACTCAGTTACCGCTGTTGTACATAAATAGGGGTAGAGAGTGATTCACCTGAACATTAAAAAAAGGAAACATTCTGGATA